ATATATATATATATATATATATATATATATATATATATATATATATATATATATATATATATATATATATATATATATATATATTTTTTTTTTTTTTTTAACCATTATTTGTTAACATTTCCAAGGGCCTAGATTTGCTTTTGATATTGGTGGGGACCTAATTTAACACCAATCCCCCAATTGTAAAATTTAAATGTAACTTCACATTTAAAATGTAATTAAAATGTAATTGCTAAAGGAATGTCTGACAAAAAAGGTAGTTTAATACAGACTTCTGTTTACTTGTTTGGGCTTGTTTGTGTATAATCACTTACCACCACATCTGAACACATTTTTGCTAGTATAATATTGCCATTTATGCAATTTAAGCTAAAAGATCTTTTCTTTACCTTTTCTGCAATGCTTGCAAACAGAACAGCTCATGTTCCTTTTTGCACTTTTAATAAATAAATAAACAAATAAATAAAATACAATTAGTAATAAAACCAACATTAACACAGGCAAATCTTGTGGTGCAAAAGTAAATTTACATTATTTTACTTTGACAAGGAATGAATGCAAAACTCTGCAAAAGAGGGGCCGTGTGACACAATAACCATTTATCTCGATTGTTGTTATTTCATAATTGTCGTGGAGGCCAAAATCGAAACTAATTTTTTATTAATTGCACATGCATGGTTACTGTTATGGTGGACTTGTAGCGAACTTGACTTCAAGTGACTGACGCTTTTCTTTGAAATGTAACTGCTTATGTAGCTTCCTTATACCAGAAAATCAGAGCACATCACACCTGTCCTCAGGTCTCTACAATGGCTCCCAGTTACATTCAGAATAAATTTTAACGTATTATTACTTGTCTATAAATCACTAAATGGCCTAGGACCTTAATACATTACAGATATACTGACTGAATACAAACCTAACAGATCATTTAGATCTTTATGATCAAATAAACTAGAAATTCCTAGAGTTCAGTCAAAGCAGGGTGAATCAGCTTTCAGATACTACGCCTCTTGCTGCTGGAATCAGCTTCCAGATATGATCAGATGTGCTCCAACATTAGGTACATTCAGATCGAGAATGAAAACACATTAGACAAATCCCACTATTATGTCTTTCTCTTCTTTTTCATTCTTTTATAACCAGTTTAACACATTTTATCTGTTATTTAATAATTTTTATTATTTGTTTTTATTTTTCTTATTGGTCTCTTTTATTCTTGTATGAAATGTGCTTTATAAATAAACTTGCCTTGCCTGAGTGTTGCACAGTAAGCCTGACTGGAAAATTTCAACAAAGCATTATTTTATTTTGGAGGCGATTAAATTATTGGTGGGGACATTTTAATAATCTGTGGATATTGGTGGGGACACGTCCCAACCGTCCATGCCAATTCTACATCCTTGAATATTTCTAATTCTGAAACATGAAACAAGATTAAATTGATCAAAAGTGAACACTGGAGCATTTATATTGTATTTCTGTTTTTAATAAATGCTATTTTAAACTAAAAAAATGTTTTATGGTTGATAAAAATTTTTTTTGCATTGATAATAGTAAAAAAAAAAAAAAAAAAAAAAAAGTTTCTCGACCACCAATTCACCAAAATCCAATGATTCTAAAATGAAATAAAAAAACTTAAAACTTCAGCTTCATTATAGGGTAAAAATAAAAAATAAAAACACATATAAATAAATCTTACTTGAATTGCAATAATATATTCATAACAACATAATAACACAGCATAATATACATAATATTACAAAACTCATTTTTTTACTCCATTTTTGATCAAATAAATGCACCCTTGGTTTACATGAGAGTCTTTTTAAAATATTTAATTAAATCTTAACAACCCTGCAGTAAATGTTTGATAAATTGCAGAAAATTGTACTTTTTTGTAAAAAAAAAAAAAAAAAAAAAAAAGTCTGGTCATGCACTGTAGCTCAGGATAAAACTAAACACATTCGCTAAGATCGACGGGCCATACAGTTACTTTTTTTGCTGTACTAAATAAGTTTGGTTTCAGGCTAAAATGAGATATCCAGTGGAAATTAAGTGTTGACAGTATAATTTAGTGCTGGATGAGGATTAATCAGTGCTTGGTAAACCATCCTCATGTGGTTCAAATTGAAGACAGATCCTTGCAACTTGCTGAAACGCAGAGCATACACATACAGTTAGCCCTCCTGAAATATATAAATATTAATTTATTAATAATATTTAATAATTAAAATAATATTTTACTAGATATTTTTAAAGATACTAGTATTCAGCTTAGTGACATTTAAATGCTAACCCAGGTTAATTAGGCAAGTTAGGGTGACTAGTGACTGGTGTTATATGCTATGTTTTCATCCATGCAGTGTGTCCAAGGGGCCGCTATGGAGTGCAGTGTCGGAGTTTCTGTACTTGTGCAAACGGAGGAGTGTGTGACCCTGTGAATGGGACGTGCAGATGTGGGCTGGGCTGGACAGGACAACATTGTGAAAAAGGTAAGTGCAAGTACACAACAATACATTTTTAGAATTGATATCCATGCAGTTGTTTTGAATAAGTCTCAAAAATACTTAATTTTGTAATGCGTACATTTTTTAAAATAGTTCACTCAACATACACACTATGAAGACTCGTTTTGCATGATGAAAATACTAATTTTAAGTAGATTTTAATGAAAATATTCTGTTATTTGTTGTTTTTACTGTCTTCAATAGTTAATTTTAGTGCTTGTATCTGTTTTTTTTTCACACTGTCAAATCAGTGTTGACAAAAAGCATTCAAAACGCACATGCAAACGTTCAAACACACACCCACTGTGCTGTTGATGAAATTTACATCACATGCACTGAATGCATCCTGTACTTTTACATGATTTAACATATATACATGCCAGTTTACCATTACAGTATCATTTATGAATTAAGCCTGGATTCGAACCCATTATCCCTCCATGGTAGTCAGGAACCTAAACTGCTCCACTAAACCACTTGAAGGTTCAAGCCTCAATTTGCTAAACTGGTTCTTTGCTGAAGCTATTCCAGTGCAATCAGGGCCGGAGCAAGCTGAACTGCCGCTCTAGGCAGAGGACGATCACGCCGCCGTCAACCCCATTGTGAAAACGAAAGTGACCGGTTTTGAAAATGAAGTGAGGTATTGCGGACCTCTATTCTACCGCCCTATGCGCGGATATAACTGAGGACACACGGGTGCTGAGGGAGGGAGGTGTTGCGGACACTGCGCTCTCTATTCTGCCGCTCTATGCGCGGATATAACTGACGACACACGGGTGCTGAGGGAGGGAGGGAGGGAGGTGTTGCGGACACTGCGCTCATTATTCTGCCGCCCTATGCGCGGATATAACTGAGGACACGCGGGTGCTGATGGAGGTGTCGCTGATGCCGCCTTCTCTATTCTTGCATCTATGCGCGAATATATCTGAGGACGTGGGTCGTGAGGGAGGTGTCGCGGACATAACTGAGGACGCGGGTGGTAAGGAAGGTGTCGCGGAGGCCGCCCTCTCTATACTGCCGCCCTAGGCGGCCGCCTAGGTCGCCTCTATGGATGCGCCGGCCCTGAGTGCAATACATAAAAAATGACCACTAGGCGTCACTGTAGAGTGGGGTTTGGAAACATTTTGAAGCTTCGACACATTTGCTTCGACTGATTCATGAAGCCTTGCTTTGACCACCACTACCAAACACTGTAGGCCAATCAGGAACAAGCTAGCTGGAAGTGGCCAATTAGATGTGTTCTAGACAAAGTAGAGAAACAGATAAGACAAGACAACCATAGGGTTGTAACACATGTTTTTTGTTGTTTGTATTTGTATATTAGAGATGCACGGATCAGCTGAAATGAAATGACATCATCCAAATCATCCACCCTCCATCCGCCTGCACATTTAGTTTTATTTGATATATGTATCCACAACCGACCTGCGCCCGCTCGTCACTTTAATAATTCAATTCTTTGTTTTAGACATGATGATGAGTCACGTTGGATATTAACAGCAGATTCAGTGAGCTATAATCTGCGCATCTCTGATAGTAAAACAACATGTTAATCTTAAACGTTTGCAAATGAATATTTAGTTATAAAAACTAAAATTTGTTTTTAGACAACATTTTCTTCCTTTTCAAATACAGAAAGTAAAAATAAGACATTTTAGCTTTTACAGATACAGAAACAAGATGACAAAAAGGGTGCCACTTCAGCCTAAACGGCAGCTATGTTATGTTTACTTGGCCCTTTTCTTCGCACTGTGCAAAAACAGAATAGCATCTATTGTGGCTGGATTCGGGCGATTCTGCCTCGCCTCCAAAACGCGGCCAGCTGCACTGAAAGAGCGTTCGCTTGCACCGCTTGTTGTAGGAATGAACAAGATTGAAGATTCTCCTCTCAAGGCGCTGCAGACGTGGAAATAAGCGATCTTGTTTCTCCCAGAACGAGCAGACTTACCTCTGATGACTCCTCTAACAGAAACTTTGAACAGTAGGCTACTCTTGCACTTCAACCATTATTTTGGGGCATCTCATCTTCCCATTCAGCAAAACCCACTCTCTGCTTTTTCGCTGGTCCACTGCCATGTCCCGTTACATCCACCCGCAATTAATCATAATGTATTTTTTTTTTATTACCTGACCCACGGATTATCCGCAGCACCCGCGGATATAACCGCCATCCACGCATCACTACTGTAAATCCACATGTGCAATTAGCTGCGTTTCCGCTATTACGCCTAAAGTGAGCATGCCAGGGCGAGCCAGGGCCAATCACGTTTCCACAGTCAAGGAGTTTTGAGATATTATTCATGAAATATTAAAATACGATAATATTAATCAAATCATGCAAACAGAGCATTTTTAGGTGAGTGAAATCATCAGAAACTACCTTCTTTTCTGTCATCCAGTCCTGTGCAATGCTAATTTAAATATTTTTGGCCCCGATTGCCTTCCACACTAGGGTATGCATAAAACCACTGCATACTTTGGGTTTTAGAAACAACATGAAGCTAAAGTTGCACTATAAACGTAAAAGTTTCCATTGATAATGACTATAAATACAATGATTGAATTCAATCATTCATTACAACAACTAGTAAATAAATTAAAGGGATAGTTTACCCAAAAATGAAAGTAAGAGCTATTTGAGTTTCTCCTTCTGTTGAACACAAAGGAAGATATTTTGAACAATGTTGGAAACTGACATCCAGAGACTTTTATTTTAACTATAGATGTCAATGGCCACTAGTTTTCATCATTATTTAGAATATTTTCTTTTGTGTTCAACAGAAATAAGAAACATAAAGGTGTGAAACTCCTTGAGTAAATGGTGAGTAGCTTTTCTTTTTGAGGTGAGCTATCCCTTCAGTGCTTTAAATTGTGCAACTAAACCATTTAATTCCTTTTGCATTACATTTTTGGATAAACTCCACTGATTATATGTCTGTGTGTTAGTTTGTGTCTCAGGTCACTATGGTGTGAACTGTGAGCAGAAGTGTGTCTGCCAGAATAACGGTACATGCGATCGTTTTACCGGATGCTGCTCTTGCCGGTCCGGATACTACGGCCCCGCCTGCCAACACCGTATGGGAGAATGAATTATCTGTAGTTAAACATTTATGCTGAAATTCAAAAATAATAATCTGTATTTTTTCCATATTCCAGGATGCCCTGCTGGCTTTTTCGGTGAGCTCTGTGCTCAACCATGCGTCTGTAAACAAGGGCACCAGTGTGATCACGTGACTGGAAAGTGTGAGTGTCCTCCTGGTTACCATGGCAACCAGTGTGAAAAACGTAAGTTATTTAAACTTTACAATATCATCAACATTATCAGCATGAAATTATGTAATATAAAATATGTATGCATATATATAAAAGAGTTTATAGTAAGGTTGTCAAAAATATCAAAAACTGAAACTTTAGAAATTTTCCCTTTAATTATTTATTTGCTTGTTTAACCAGGAAAGTACCATTGAAACTTTAGAGCCAACCACATATCTTTTGAGTTTGTGAACACAGTGGCCAATCAGCAGTGTTTAAGGACATGCTCAGCAGAGCTCAAATGTTAGCAGAAAAAAGGACCATTTAAAATTCACAAAATGTCACTTCAGCCTGCATTTTAGCGATAGTTGCAAAAAAGGTTCTGACAACTTAGAAGGACAAGGATAACTATGATAACTCTAAGAATAACTCTGATAACGTAAGGACTGAAATTCAAAATACTCAAAAAAATTATCGGTAAAGCTCTATAAAAATGTGCAATACCAGTAACAAACACACTGTTTATATATTCAGTGATAAATACCTTTGAATTTTTATTCTCTTTTAAATATTTTCCAAATTATGTTTAACAGAGCAAGGAAATTTTCACTGTATGTCTGATAATATTTTTTCTTCTGGAGAAAGTCTTATTTGTTTTATTTTGGCTAGAATAACAGCAGTTTTTAATTTTTTTAATAAACATTTTAAGGACAAAATTATTAGCCCCTTTAAGCTAGTTTTTTTTCAGACTGTCTTCAGAACAAACCATCGTTATACAATAACTTGCCCAATTACCATAACCTGCCTAGTTACTGTAACCTAATGAACCTAATTAAGCCTTGAAATGTCACTTTAAGCTGTATAGAAGGTGTCTTGAATAATATCCAGTCAAATATTATGTACTTTAAATTTATTTTAAATAAAGTCTAAATTATTTATTCACAAATTACACTGATTTGGTTCTCTTTGTGACTTTGCTGTTCATTTTCTCATCCTCAGGTCATTTAAGATGTACAGTAGGAGTCTATTTTTCTTCAGCAGGATTTTTAAAGCTAAAACTGTGGTCGTTTGATGATTCATAAAGTGCAAGTCTACGTCTTTGAGTAACAGAATCATATACAGGCAAAACAAAATTAATATCCAAAAGCAAGAATAAAGCAAGAGTAATAATGAGTATTTTATATACGGTATATACTTAATACTTAAAAAATGCCATTTACTTTTTGCTCAAACTACTTATTTACAATGGACAACCCACACAATTCTTAAGTTTTTTTGTGACAGCTTAATTGTTTTATGTTCAATCCACTTAAATTTGTAAATATATATAAAAAGTTAACTTAATTGGCATTTCATTCTGCTGTGGCTACCCTTGATAAGTCAGGGACTAAGCTGAAGGAAAATAAATTCTTAATTCCTTCATGTTGTCCCAACACAAATCAATTGAAATCAATTTTGAACAGTGCATGATTCACATGCACTACTTTGCTTTTATTTTGTGAAAAGCTTTCTAAATTACTTTCTTCTACTGAACACAAAACAAGATTTTCTGAAAAATGTTGGGGAATAAAAACAGCCTATCACAGGACAGGGGTCAGCTGTTCTCTCTGTCTGTGTTTGTGTCACAGGTTGCGAGTCTGGCCGTTTTGGACGTGATTGTGCAGGTGTGTGTGATTGTGATGGGGCATCCTGTGATCCAACCACTGGACAGTGTCTCTGTCCTCCTGGAAAGACTGGAGAACGCTGTGAGAAAGGTACATGCAGATCTCGCATATACATACACTCTCACAAAACTTGCTGAAACCTTGACCTTAACTGTAATATTGTGCGTTTAGTTTGTGACAGCAGGTATTATGGCCCGGACTGCTCTTTCCAGTGTGAGTGTGTTCATGGAGGACAATGTGACCCTCAAACTGGACACTGCTCCTGTCCTCAAACCTGGCTAGGGCCTACCTGTGAACATGGTAAGGGTTTGTGTGTTTTTGTGTGCGTTAGTGTGTGTGTGTGTGTGTGTGTGTGTGTGTGTGTGTGTGTGTGTGTGTGTGTGAGATTAGATATATTTTTGACAAAACTCCACAGTATAAAAACATTACTTGTTACTTTAAAATGTCAAATTATGATTAGATAATTTGTTTATGATGATAATAATAATAATAATAATAATAATAATAATAATAATAATTAGAATTAGAATTAGAATATAATAATTGTTTTAATTATGAAAAAGTGTATAGTTAGTTTAACATTAGCAAATCATTTATTTAAGTCAGAGTCATTTGATTTAAAGTATTTGCTGATACCAAACTCCGATCCGATAATTCTTTAATACATAAAAAAGAATAAAGAAGAGTGAAGAAACAGATCCAGGATGTTCCTTATTTTGTATTCAATTCACCTTATTTTAACATTTAACAACTCTGTATACAAACAGAGCTCTTCTAAGGTAGCTTGAATAATCAGGTAATAAATAACATCAATTCTTCATATTTACACTTTAGTGCAACAGTAAATGTAAAAAAAAATCTGATATAAAAACAAATAGTGCCTCAACTTAAAATACCCGGCAGGCATCCCAAGTTTACATATCTCACAGTTTGCAATGGCAATGTTGTCATCATAAACTTTATAATACCTCCAGACCGCAGACATACACGCGCTTTCCGCTATAAGCTGCTTTCATGTTCAACTTTGCCGACATTTAACCAATAGCGTCTCTGAAATAAAGTGATGTCATGCCCCACGCGTTGCTCATTTCAAAATATATATGAGGGCTCTAGGCTAAATTTTGCACTGGTTGTACTGGTGCGACTAAGAAAAAGTTAGACGCACCTAAATTTTCAATCGCATCACATTTTTACATTTATATTAAAGATAAACAAGGCTAGAATATTAAAATCAGGTACATTTTTATAGCCGGGTATTTCTTTAACTACGGGCACTTTTATGTCCTTTGATCAGATATCCAAAATATATAGAATTTGGTTCAAATTTCTTTTTCAGTCAAACTAATAATAAAACCTACTTAAAAAATTAATATCTTTCTATTTTTTTTTTTCATATTATTCAACCTACTTTTAAGTGTCAAAATCACTGTTTTCACCTTGTCGCACACCCAGAGTTTGAAACTTTCACAATGAAAATAACATTTTAAAATATTATTGATCTGGTATCTATTAATGTATCTTAATTAAGCACTGGTGAAATTACTTACATATTTTATAGTTATTAATGTGAGACTATTATCAATATTATTTTTTATACAAAATATAGCTGTCGCACAATATCAGTGTCATTTCCACCACAACACTGTAATGTCACTTTAAAAAGCTTGTGTTCAGGATGGAGGGAATTTAAATTTGTATCAACAACACATCATTTCCAAACATGCTGTACCCGCAAAGATGTTTTTAAAAACCAAACAAAATGAAGGGGAATAAGAGTGTTTTGTATACATGAAAGACTAGTATCAATTCAAAGCTAATCGGTGAAGCTTTTTTTCATTTTTTTCCACAGTAAACTGTTGAAATGTCATTTCCACCACCGTCATTTCCACCACCACACACATTTTTTTAAAAATATTTAAAAATTTCTTATCACACATTAAAAGTGTATTCAGAATGTTTTAAATTTGTTTTTTGCATAAGTAAAATGTGGAGGATCTTTTTATATATTTGCAAACATTCTGTAAGTGTACATATTCTCTCAATAATAATAATAAAAAAGTGTATTCACAATGTATAAGTTCATGCTCTATTCAATATACAAATTCAGTTCATTTATTTTCTAATAAGCTCTTAACAAAATTAATATAACATTTTAGTGTGACAGGTGTACAATTCAGCATTCAACTAATTTATTTAATTGATAAATGTATAATTGATATATATATATTGTGGAAAGATTGGTTAAACTAGATACAAACATGACCTTAGACAATGTTTGACTGCCATAATTTATTTCATTTTGAAATAAAAGCTGTATATTGAGATGTGGTGGAATTGACATTTGTTCTGTTCACGATGTTAAAAAAAAATGTTAAAAATGTGAAATATGAACAATTTCTCTTATCCAAGTTTGTCCTCTTACAGATCTTAAAACTAGACAAATTGTTTAAACTTATGAGGATATGTTTTGTTAATTTTGAACAAGTTTTTTTACTCAACTTCAAAAAGCTAAAAGTGCCTGTAGTTAAAGAATTGCCCAGCATCACAAAAATCTTGTGGTTGTGCACTTGTTTAATAAAAATCTTTGTGATTGTAACATTCCACATGCAATAAAGTGTATCGATAACCAAAAGCAAGATCATATTATGATACTTATCGAAATATTTATGTTTTTGGCAGTTGAACCAAAAAATAATTTTTTTCCCCTTGAAAAGCTGGTCGCACCAGTGCAACCTCAGATTTTTTTAGTCGTACCATTAAGAAATAAGGTCGAAATATATTCAAGTCTTGATCAGGAGGTAATGTCCGATTCCGATCGAGTCTGAAACCGCGTGATCGGGCCCGATTTCCAATCATGTGATCAGTTCTGGACATCCCTAATTCTGAATTAAATAATTTATTTATTAATAATAATTTTGTCCTTAAAATGGTGTTTAAAAAATTAAAAACTGCTTTTATTCAAGCCGAAATAAAACAAATAAGACTTTCTCCAGAAGAAAAAATATTATCAGACATACTGTGAAAATTTCCTTGCTCTGTTAACCATCATTTGGCAAATATTTAAAAAAGAAAAAAAGAATCAAATGGAGGCTAATAATTCTGACTTCAACTGTATATGATATTGAATACATGTATATTTTTCATTGATTTTCATTTAATTGTTGATTTGGTCCTGTATAGATGTATTATTCACATTTCCTCATTTATATTTTGAGTAATACTTTTTATTGTATTTGTGTAATTGTGCGTTTTAAATCACAATTTCCCATCTTAATATGACATGCAACACTAAGAATAGTGTGTAAATCTTGGTTACATGAACACTTTAAAAATGACCATATATTTGTTTAATACATTTATCACATTATTATTAATAATTTTGTAATGCAAAAATAATTGTATCTAAAAGGGTTGCATGAATATTCATTAAATACAATGTAAAAACTCCATAATTTTACCGTTTATTTCCAGCAACTTGGGTGCCGAAAAAAAAGGAAAATAATGGCCATTAAATTACAGAAATTTACAGTAAAATAGCAGGTTGAATAACAAAAATTTAAATTCAAGGACATTTTTGTAATTTATTGGCCGTTATTTTACATTTATTTTATGCTCATCTCTCTTTGTGTTTCTCTCAGGTGCTTTTGCAGATCTTGCGTTTGCTCAAATACACAAGAGGCGACGGCATGTATCACACTCCTAGTCCTGCCACAGACACACACACTCGGCTGACATCCAGCAGAAGGCGAGTGGCATGGCTGAACGAGTGTGTGAGCTTATGTGCGACTTGTTATTATGGGTTTTCCCCCCAGACAAGCGAACCACAGGAGAATTAGTAAGAGGAAGCAATCCCAAAAAACACAGACACACACAAACACCCCTCTGCATGCACACAAGACCACTGACAGCCTGTCAATGAATGACTATCTATGAAGAAAGGACAGTTTAAGGTGAATATCACACATATAACATGCTAAAGACGATCAGTGTAACTTAAACACTTGTGTTGTGAGCTCTGTTTGTGCATACATTTGCAAAGTCCCACATCAGACAGTCAAACCAAACCATCCGATCGGCTGAACGCCCTCCGAGCCACAAAGCCTAACCGAATTTCGCTATTACAGGATCAGAGCGAAGCCTCAACCGCTCATTTCTATAGTACATACCACAAATACACCACTAAAGTGGCACGTCAGAATACAGCAACACTCAATGAGATTATTGCCTTCCATACATACCATGCAAAGGCTAAAATTTACCTTGTAAACATACACCAACACTAAATTTATCCTTTAGTTTTTAACGATGTTGTCTATAAAGTCCTCTTTTATAGTACTTTTATGTTTTTTTTTAAGTATATGAAGCATGAATGTGGAGCATTTGTGCTAGATATTCTATTTTAAGGGATCGTTCACCCAAAAACGAAAGTTAATTTACTCGCCCTCAAGCCATCAGAGATGTTATGTGACCTTTATTTCAGTATAACGTACAAGAAAAACGATTTTAGGCTGAAACTGTGGTCCTGTGTAATTTCCAAAAAAAAAAAAAAAAAAAGTCAATGGTTGCCAGCACTGAATAAAAAAAAAAAAAAAAGTCTGGCAAAACAAAATTCAGTTGAATTAATTCATTCTAAAATATATTTGCAGTACAAGTTATTGAATTTAGAATTTAGTTATTGAATTGCAAGTAAGCAGAAGTTATTGAATTTAGTACACTTCTTACACACAATAATGGGATTACGTGTGACATTAGACAAAATAAGGAGGTTAATCACTGTCTGTCAATTTAGTTTGTTTGTGTAAAACCTCATACTTTAGGTATTATTCTTCAAACAATATATACAAGATAACTCGGTAACACTTTATAATAACTAGGAATTATTTATTAAGCATTAGCATATCGTGAATTCATTATTTGTTAAGCATTAACTCTACATTAATAAATTTTAGTGAGCAGTTTAGAACTACAGCTACAAATGTTCTAGTCTTGTCTTATGAGCACATGTGCTTAATGATTGTGTTTTTATCCTTTGTGAGTGATTCATTTTTCATTACTAAATTAAGTATCGCATTATTTACAAACCAGTTCGATTTTAAACTCAGGCTCAACTTTATTATCCCGTTTAGAGAAACTAAAAATGCAGCAAGGTGCCATAACACAGGCAAAGTTCCATGTACACATTAATAAAATATAACCTCACAACATACCATACATCATTATGTAGGTGCATCTCCCTCTCCCCTGGACTCATTAAATGACTTGATGGCCACCATTCTAAAAGAATTTCTGGTTCTGTTTGTCCTGCAAATAGGAACTCTAAAACAATGTCCTGATGGCAGCAGCGGAAACACAGAGTACAATGTGTAATTTAGGGTGCAAAGGATACCCTGAGCTCTCTTTAAAACATAATTATGGTAAGTTACCATTGGACCAGCCTGGTTAAAACCGATGATCTTGCCTGCCACCTTCACCAGGCTGCTCAGCCTGTTCTTACTTGACACACTCAGATTATCGTACCAAGCTACAATGCAAAAAGATAAAACAGATTCAATAAATTGTTTATAAAACAATTTACAGACATCATAGAGCAGTATTTTATAGTAGCTGATGGTTTTTAAGATCATTCAGAATAGGTAAATTTACATTTGAATGTATTCATTTTGAGTATCCTAATTATTTACAACAATATTCTGGTTTTTCCCCTTAAATTATCAACTTAGACATTTATTCTGTTCAGACTTATTTTTTGTTGCTCGTTGTAAAACATCTATTGGTAAAAGAGCGTTTATGTTTAAGGGTCCTGCAGATTGGAGTAATTTGCCTGCTAACATTCGATCCATTACATCATTTAAGGTCTTTAAGCAAACTTTGTTATCATATTTTACTTTGGATTGTACCAGTTTTTCCTGAGGATGTTTTTATTTATGTGGTGATTTGATTCACTGATCTGTATATAGTTTTTGTACTATTTATGTTTACAAATGTTTGTATATGTATGTATGTATGTATGTACTGTATGTATGTATGTGTGCATGTATGTATGCATGTATGTATGTACTGTATGTACTGTATGCATGTATGTATGTATGTATGTATGTATGTATGTATGTACATACTACTTCCCCCTTTTTTATGTTATGTTTTTTGGATGTTTTATTTCTTCTTCTGGTGTTATTATTATGTGATTGTGATTAATTGTGGGACCCC